TACACCCCCTGCACCTACACCCCCATACAGCTGAACCCACCTGAACCCCAACTCCCAGACCTGACCCCCTGAACCCACCTGCACCTACACCCTAAGACCTGACCCCCTGAACCCACCTGCACCTACACCCAAGACCCCATGAACTCCCAGACTCCCAAACCCACCTGCACCTACACCCCCATACAGCTGAACCACTGTCGCTCCCCGTCTTCATGGAGGAACGACACAGGACCCTGCGCTGTTCTTTTGTCTGCTCGGCCCTCCCCGGGTTTGCTGCTGGTTCTTCCCGGGTTGGCGGTTCCCCCTAGCCACTTTCCCCACTTCCGCGGGGGAGCGGCACACCGCCGGCCGGCTCTCTCGGGGGCTGCACAGGTGTTCCTTCAGATAGATGTTCCCCTTAGATGTTCCTGGTGCATGTCGTCTCTCTCCTCCTTTATAGTCCTCTTCCACCAATCCCAACTCTGCTGCCCACACGCCGAGTACGCTGCTCTCCTCCAATCAGGAGCAGGTCCTACAGTTTATTGGTTGAACTGGAGGCAGCTGTGTAGAAACTGTTTCCTCCTCTCCCAGTGCCATATTGTGGGAGAGCAGATGCACAGAATAAGTCTTAATTCCAGTAACTTAGTCTAGTCCGAGTTGCTCCCAGTTGCTCCCCACAGATCCCCCTTTCTTTTTATTTTTGGCGTTGATACGCACCTGTCTTCGGTGCCCCGCGGCACACACTCTGCTCTACTTGCTAGAGTTGCCCACAGGTGCTTACAAGCCCTACCAATCAGGCAAACCGAATCCGGGTCCTCTCTTCGCCATGTTGTGAGGAGGTTTTTAGGCGCTGATGCGTGCCTGTGTTCGGTGCCCTGCAGCACATGCTCTGCTAGAACTGCCTGCAGGTGCTTACAAGCCCTACCAATCAGGCAAACCAAATCCAAGCCCTCTCATTGCCGTCTTGTGGGGAGACTTATTGGTGTTAATTCATGCCTGTCTTCGGTGACCTGCGGCGCATAAGCTGCTAGCCGCCCGCAGGTGCACACCACCTCCCTAATCAGGCAGACTGAATCCAAGCTCTCTCATTGCCATGTTGTGGGGAGGCCTTATTTTTCTCTATTTCTCTATCTCCGGGCATTCCTATTTCTCCTATTTTACTTCTATCTGCCAGCATTCCTATTTCTCTCATTTTACTTCTAAACTTCTGTTTCTCTTATCCCCGCGGCTTCCCGGCGCCCGCCCCGAGGCTGCTTCTCGGTGCCTCCCCCGCAGCGGCTTCCCGGCTCTGAGCCGCTTCCCGGCTTTGTGTGCTCCGCGGTCTCCATGCCCTTCGCGCCCGCACCACGGCCTTCGCGCCAGCCCCGCGTTCCCTATCTATTCACGCCCCATGCTCTCTCTGCACGCGGCGGCTTCCGCGAATCACACAGCCTAGCTCACGTTTCCGCCACCGGTATTCAATCTAAGTTCCCCGGGCTAACCTGGCGAATTCAACCTATAGCTTACGTTTCCGCCTTACGGTTTGGCTTCCCGTCTTTTGCTCCCCAGGCTAATCTGACGGATTCCAACCCAGCTCACGCGTCCACCTCTAGTTCCAGATTTTCGCCTTTTGTTCCCTGGGCTGACTTGAAGAATTCCAACCTGGCTTACGTCTCCGCCTCGGCCTGCCCCCGCGGCTTCATCCTCCCTAACATATTTTTCTCTACCCGGTATGTTTCCTAACTTTTCTTCCAACAATATTCCCCTCTCACTTCTGGCTTCTCCCCACAGTCCATATCCGAGTCTAAGTTTCTTCTAGGTTTCACTTTCACTTTCAACCTGCAGTCCATATCTGAGTCTAAGTTTCTTCTTGCTTTCGCTTTAAATCCTAACTTCTTTCCCACAGTCCGTATCCAAGTCTATGCCTAGGTTTTCAATAGCTTCTTCCGGCACCTTTTCTGTCCGGCTTTTCCCTAGGCTCTTTGCTAGTCTCTCTCTCCGGTATTTTCCCACTTCTTCCCTCTTCTTCCCTCCTGGGTTTCCTATCCGAGTCATGGCACCATTATGTCGCTCCCCGTCTTCATGGAGGAACGACACAGGACCCTGCGCTGTTCTTTTGTCTGCTCGGCCCTCCCCGGGTTTGCTGCTGGTTCTTCCCGGGTTGGCTACTGACCCTTCCACCTCCATGGAAGGGCGGTTCCCCCTAGCCACTTTCCCCACTTCCGCGGGGGAGCGGCACACCACCGGCCGGCTCTCTCGGGGGCTGCACAGGTGTTCCTTCAGATAGATGTTCCCCTTAGATGTTCCTGGTGCATGTTGTCTCTCTCCTCCTTTATAGTCCTCCTCCGCCAATCCCAACTCGGCTGCCCACACGCCGAGTACGCTGCTCTCCTCCAATCAGGAGCAGGTCCTACAGTTTATTGGTTGAACTGGAGGCAGCTGTGTAGAAACTGTTTCCTCCTCTCCCAGCGCCATATTGTGGGAGAGCAGATGCATAGAATAAGTCTTAATTCCAGTAACTTAGTCTAGTCCGAGTTGCTCCCAGTTGCTCCCCACAAACCACCTGCACCCCACACTCCCAGACCTGACCCCCTGAACCCACCTGCACCTACACCTCCAGACCCCATGAACCTACTTGCACCTACACCCCCTGCACCTACACCCCAAGACCTGACTTTCTGAACCCACCTGCACCCACACCAGTCATCTCAGGAGAGATGGTCCTGTACTTTGAAGTCTGAAGAAAACAACCTAACCTGAGCCAATGGCTCAGAGCCTGGCCCTGCCCTCAGACCCGCCGGGGCTGCTCCCAGCCCTGCCGCTTGGCCACGGGCCAGGGGGCTGCCTCTGCTGTCCCTGGGCTGTCAGGGGGATGAAGTCAGAGGGCAGAGGAGTCAGGACAGGCCTGTGTCTGGAGGGGCCTCCGGGAGCGCCAGGGCCCTCTCCCAAGAGCAGAGAGCATTCATGCAGAGTCCTGGGCCTTGTGCGGAGGGTGGCCGGGGCAGGGCTCCTACCGGGACCCCCAGCCGCCCTCCTAGAACCAGCTCTGGACCCTCTTCCTGGGTCTCAGCTGGGCATCTCCCTGTGGGGAGCAAAGCCCAGGCACCGCTGTGGGGAGCTGAGCCCAGGCCCTGCTGTGGGAAGCGGGGTGCAGGACACCAGCACAGGAACCAGGGGCATCGGGTGTGGGGAGCAGAGCCCAGGCCCCGCTGTGAGGAGCAGAGCCCAGGCGCCGCTGTGGGAAGCGGGGTGCAGGACACCAGCACAGGAACCAGGGGCATCGGGTGTGGGGAGCAGAGCCCAGGCCCTGCTGTGGGGAGCAGAGCCCAGGCCCCGCTGTGGGAAGCGGGGTGCAGGACGCCAGCATAGAAACCAGGGGCGTCGTCCTGTGGGGAGCAGAGCCCAGGCCCCGCTGTGGGAAGCGGGGTGCGGGACGCCAGCACAGGAACTAGGGGCGTCGTCCTGTGGGGAGCAGAGCCCAGGCCCACTGTGGGGAGCAGAGCCCAGGCCCCGCTGTGGGAAGTGGGGTGCAGGATGCCAGCATAGAAACCAGGGGCGTCATCCTGTGGGGAGCAATGCCCAGGCCCCGCTGTGGGAAGCGGGGTGCGGGACGCCAGCACAGGAACCAGGGGCATCGTCCTATGGGAGCAGAGCCCAGCCCCGCTGTGGGGAGCAGAGCCCAGGCCCCGCTGTGGGAAGTGGGGTGCAGGACACCAGCACAGGAACCAGGGGTATCGGGTGTGGGGAGCAGAGCCCAGGCCCCGCTGTGGGGAGCAGAGCCCAGGCCCCGCTGTGGGAAGTGGGGTGCAGGACGCCAGCATAGAAACCAGGGGCGTCGTCCTGTGGGGAGCAGAGCCCAGGCCCCGCTGTGGGAAGTGGGGTGCAGGACGCCAGCATAGAAACCAGGGGTGTCGTCCTGTGGGGAGCAGAGCCCAGGCCCCGCTGTGGGAAGCGGGGTGCGGGATGCCAGCACAGGAACTAGGGGCGTCGTCCTGTGGGGAGCAGAGCCCAGGCCCACTGTGGGGAGCAGAGCCCAGGCCCCGCTATGGGGAGCAGAGCCCAGGCCCCGCTGTGGGGAGCAGAGCCCAGGCCCCGCTGTGGGAAGTGGGGTGTAGGACACCAGCACAGGAGCCAGGGGCATCGGGTGTGGGGAGCAAAGCCCAGGCCCTGCCATGGGAAGCGGGGTGCAGGACGCCAGCACAGGAGCCAGGCTGGGTTGGGTTGCGCTGTGTCTTGGGTCAGAGCTGTCGGGAGCTGAGTGTTCCAGCTCCTTCCTGACCGGATCATTGTCTTGGTCGCTGAACTGTGAGCCCCGGATGAGCGAAGGGATGTGCTGTCTGCCTCCGTGTGATGCAGCGCTCAGGGAGGGGCCTGCGGGCCGTCTTCTGCTTGACGTGCTGCCCTGGGACCAGCCTGCCCTCCGTGCTGCTGCTGGGGAGCCTGTGGCGCCCAGCCCCTCACCTCCCCGACCCCGAGGTCACCCTCACCTCCCCTGACCCCGAGGTCACACCTCCTGTGACCCCCAAGGTCACCCTCACCTCCCCTGACCCCGAGGTCACCCTCACCTCCCCGACCCCGAGGTCACCCTCACCTCCCCTGACCCCAAGGTCATACCTCCTGTGACCCCCAAGGTCACCCTCACCTTCCCAACCCTGAGGTCACCCTCGCCTCCCCTGACCCTGAGGTCACACCTCCTGTGACCCCCAAGGTCACCCTCACCTTCCCAACCCCGAGGTCACCCTCACCTCCCCTGACCCTGAGGTCACACCTCCTGTGACCCCCAAGGTCACCCTTACTTCCCCTGACCCCGAGGTCACCCTCACCTTCCCGACCCTGAGATCACCCTCACCTCCCCTGACCCCAAGGTCACACCTCCTGTGACACCCAAGGTCACCCTTACCTCCCCTGACCCTGAGGTCACCCTCACCTCCCCTGACCCTGAGGTCACCCTCGCCTCCCCTGACCCCGAGGTCACCCTCGCCTCCTCTGACCCTGAGGTCACCTTCGCCTCCCCTGACCCCGAGGTCACCCCAACTCCTCTGACCCCGAGGTCACCCTCACCTCCCCTGACCCCGAGGTCACCCTCTACTCCTTGCAGTGAGCATGCGTGTCGTCTTGTCCTCTCAGAACCATGGGTGCCACCCTGTGGGCTGTGAGACCACGCGAGGCCGTCCTGTGCGTCCCCGTGTGAGTTCACAGAGCTCACTTGGAGAGGTCTGTGCCACACCTGCACAGCACACAGCCAGGTGTCCTGAGGCCAGGTGCCGGAGAGCTCCCCTCCCCCACCCCTGCATTGCCTCTCACTGAGCCCTACGTGCGCAGGTGCACAGACTCCTGGTGACAGCTTTCCAGGTGCAGGAGGTCTGGAGGGACAGGGGCCAGATCGGCTGTGGCCACAGGTCGTCCATGTCTGCAGTGGACTTGAGTGTCTGCAGTGGACTTGTGTGCAAGCCGGCAGGTGTTTCCTGGGTAGCCACGGCCTTGCGGCTCTGTGGTCGTCCATGTCTGCAGTGGACTTGTGTGCAAGCCGGCAGGTGTTTCCTGGGTGGCCACAGCCTTTGCGGCTCTGTGGTCGTCCATGTCTGCAGTGGACTTGTGTGCAAACCGGCAGGTGTTTCCTGGGTGGCCACAGCCTTTGCGGCTCTGTGGTCGTCCATGTCTGCAGTGGACTTGAGTGTGAACCGGCAGGTGTTTCCTGGGTGGCCACGGCCTTGCGGTTCTGTGGTCGTCCATGTCTGCAGTGGACTTGTGTGCAAGCCGGCAGGTGTTTCCTGGGTGGCCACGGCCTTGCGGCTCTGTGGTCGTCCATGTCTGCAGTGGACTTGTGTGCAAGCCGGCAGGTGTTTCCTGGGTGGCCACAGCCTTTGCAGCTCTGTGGTCGTCCGTGTCTGCAGTGGACTTGTGTGCAAGCCAGCAGGTGTTTCCTGGGTGGCCACAGCCTTTGCGGCTCTGTGGTCGTCCGTGTCTGCAGTGGACTTGTGTGCAAACCGGCAGGTGTTTCCTGGGTGGCCACGGCCTTTGCGGCTCTGTGGTCGTCCATGTCTGCAGTGGACTTGTGTGCAAGCCGGCAGGTGTTTCCTGGGTGGCCACGGCCTACGTGGGTCTGTGGTCGTCCGTGTCTGCAGTGGACTTGTGTGCAAACCGGCAGGTGTTTCCTGGGTGGCCACGGCCTACGCGGCTCTGTGGTCGTCCGTGTCTGCAGTGGACTTGTGTGCAAGTCGGCAGGTATTTCCTGGGCACAGACCCATGGCCGCATAAATGGAGACACAGAGCTGTATTCTGTGATTCAGATAGGAGAGGTGCAAGTTCACAAGCAGAGCACAGTGGTGTGGCAGTGTGATGTGTGTGCCTCTGAGTACGTGTGAGTGTGTGCACAGGTATGTGTGTATACGTGCATGTGTGTATGTGCGAGTTTGTGGATTTGTGTATGAATGTGTGTGTGCACGTGTGTATGTCTACATATGTATGCACATGTTAGTATATGTGTGTGTATGCGAGTCTGGATCTGTGTATGAGTGTGTGTGCGTGGGTATGTGTATATGTATATGTGTGAGTATGTGAATTTGAGCTGTGTGTGTGCATGTATGTGTCTAAGTGTGTGTAGTATTTGTGAGTGTAAATGTGTTTCTAAGTGTGTGTGTATTTGTGTGCATGTGTATGTGTGCATATGTGTATATGTGTCCAAGTGTGTGTAGTATTTGTGCTTATGTTAGTGTAAATGAGTGTGTCTAAGTGTGTATGTGTGCATATCTGTGTATGAGTGTGCACATGCATGTATCTAAGTGTGTGTAGTGTTTGTGTCTATGTGAATGTAAATATGTATTGTATGTGTTTCTAAGTGTGTGTGCATATATATGTATGTGTGCATGTGTTTATGTATGAGTATCTGTGTATAAGAGTGTGTATCTAAGCATGTATGTGCATATATGTTACATAGATCTCAACAGAGTTCATATTTAAATAATTAGAGGAATTAAGCAATTAAGATCCCAATTTAGTTCAGGTCAGTATTACTAATTCCCCTTGTGGGCTATGGTTATAAAGATTAATGCCCCAAACTGGAGCTGAGAGGGCACATCTTTAACTTTTTTTAAAAAGATTTTTTTTTATTTGAGAGGCAGAGTTACAGATAGAGGTAGAGGCAGAGGCAGAGGCACAGAGAGAGAGAGAGAGAGAGAGAGGTCTTCCATCCTCTGGTTCGCTCCACAGTGGCTACAATGGCCGAAGCCAGGAGCCAGGAGCTTCTTCCAGGTCTCCCACGTGGGTGCAGGGGCCCAAGCACTTGGGCCATCTTCCACTGCTTTCCCAGGCCACAGCAGAGAGCTGGATTGGAAGTGGAGCAGCCAGGACTCAAACCAGCACCTGTATGGGATGCTGGTGCCACAGGCAGAGGATTAACCCACTCAGTACAGCACCAGCCTCTATCTTTAAATCTAACTGATGTATTTATTCTTGATCTCTGTGTAGTTGGATTGTGGGCATGATTGGCTCATGTCTTGTCTTTTTAAGTTAGCATGTGTTTTTCCAACTTCTCTGTAAATAATTTCTGATGTATTGGTATTTACTTTGTTTTCTTTCTTCTCAATATGTTGGCAATGTGAGTTTTTTTCCGGTGTGATCAGGGACCAGAATCCCTTGGTTATCTTGTTACTCTTGTGTGAGGGCTTGGCATGCATTCGTTTAACCTTGCCTCAGTTTTTTTCCGGTGTGATCAGGGACCAGAACTCCTTGGTTATCTTGTTACTCTTGTGTGAGGGCTTGGCATGCATTAGTTTAACCTTGCTTCAGTCTTTCTGGCCCTGTTAGGAAGATGCAGGAGGACTAAGTCCCTGGAACTGTCGGGCTTGCTCATGAACCTGACACATGCCAGCGTGTGATGGGCGTGGTAACTCGGGGCACACCTGGACAGTGTGATTACATCGAGAGATGCCACTACCCAGCTCCTTGCTTGCGGCGTTAACGCAGCCCCTGGGAGTGACGGCGCCCGTCGAGGCGGCCGTCTGAGGCTGATGCCGCTTTTACTTCCGCATTTCTGAGGTTGTTTCCTACAAGCGGGACTGGAGAGGACCCCGGCATGCCTGGCGACAGGAACCTGGTGACTGTGTCGTCAGCCTTGCCGGCCGCCTGTTTCCCAGCGTGTGTTGCCTGGGCCGTGGATGCCTCGCTCTGGCCACGGCCAAGTCTGGCTCCCGCCCCGTCCCACTGTTCTCTGCGGCCTTGGGGGAGTGGGCACCCAGTGGCTCTGTGGCCACGGTAGCTCTTCCTGCCGTGACTCCCAGAGACGGAAGCATCCGTGTGTGCACGAGTAGATACAGTGTTTCCCGTCAGCCGCCTTGTACCACGCAGAGGTAACACAGGCGTCCCGGCAAGGACAGTGTCGCTTCCCAGGTGTTTGTCTGCATTGTATCAGTGCAACATCTTAATATTCTTATTTAATTTTTTTAAAAGATGCATTTATTATTTATTTGAAAGGCAGAGTTACAGAGAGAGGGGGACAGGTCTTCCATCCTCTGGTTCACTCCCCACATGGCTGCACGGCCAGAGCTGGGTCAGGTTGCAGCCAGGAGCCTGGAATGTCATCCCGTGCCTCCCACTGGCACCGTGGGACGCCGGCGTGGCAGACAGAGGCTTAGCTGCCATGCCACAATGCCGGCCCCACAGAAGCCTCGTCTTGGGGCAGGCTGCTGTGGTTTTCCAGAAGAGAGGGACGCGGGGTGGCTGCTCTGCTGCCACAAGCATCGTGAATGATACCATCCTGGGGAAGCAGGAACGTTGTCCCCTCACGGGACCGTGTGCCGTGTCCAGTGTGTGCCGGGCAGGGTAGCCTGCAGTGGTGGAAGAAGCCAGGAGCGCTGGGCGTTCTCTGCCGAGGGCTGCCCTGGGAGCCACCCCCATGGCCTTGAGTGTCTCTATATCAGGGGCCCCACAGAAAGATCCAGAACACCGGCCGCCACCCTCCGGGCCACGCCCCCTGGGCCGCACAGGAAGGTCACGGGGGACGCTGCGGGGTCTGACGGACGCTGTGCTACGAAACGGTAAAATGTCCTCTCTGTGTTTGGCCCGCAGATGAGTACAGAATCAAGCCAGTGGAGGAGGTCAAGTACATGAAGAACGGGGCCGAGGAGGAGCAGAAGGTAGCGGCCAGGAACCAGGAGAACCTGGTAAGACCCCGCCTCCGTGCTGGTGGCCTCCAGTGACACCGCTGTCTACAGTCTGTGCTGGGTGTGCGCTGGAGCCGCCATGGCTGTCTAGCTCCGTGCTGGGCGTACCCTGGAGCCGCTGTGGCTCTCTGTCTCCATGCTGGGCGTGCGCTGGAGCCACCGTGGCTCTCCAGCTCCATGCTGGGCGTGCGCTGGAGCCACCGTGGCTCTCTCCAGCTCCATGCTGGGCGTGCGCTGGAGCCACCGTGGCTCTCTCCAGCTCCATGCTGGGCGTGCGCTGGAGCCACCGTGGCTCTCTCCAGCTCCATGCTGGGCGTGCATGGGAGCCACCGTGGCTCTCTCCAGCTCCATGCTGGGCGTGCGCTGGAGCCACCGTGGCTCTCCAGCTCCATGCTGGGTGTGCGCTGGAGCCACTGTGGTTCTCTCCAGCTCCATGCTGGGCGTGCACTGGAGCCGCCGTGGCTCTCTAGCTCCGTGCTGGGCGTACCCTGGAGCCGCCGTGGCTCTCTGTCTCCCTGCTAGGTGTGCGCTGGAGCCGCCGTGGCTCTCTAGCTCCGTGCTGGGCGTACCCTGGAGCCGCCGTGGCTCTCTGTCTCCCTGCTGGGTGTGCGCTGGAGCCGCCGTGGCTCTCTAGCTCCGTGCTGGGCGTGCGTTGGAGCCACCATGGCTCTCCAGCTCCATGCTGGGCGTGCGTTGGAGCCACTGTGGCACTCTGTCTCCATGCTGGGCGTGCGCTAGAGCTGCCGTGGCTCTCTGTCTCCGTGCTGGGCGTGCGCTGGAGCCACTGTGGCTCTCTCTAGCTCCGTGCTGGGCGTGCGTTGGAGCCGCCGTGGCTCTCCAGCTCCGTGCTGGGTGTGCGCTGGAGCCACTGTGGCTCTCTCTAGCTCCGTGCTGGGCGTGCACTGGAGCCGCCGTGGCGCTCTCTAGCTCTCTGGAGGCTGTGGCTCCGCTCTGCGTCCTGCTGCTCTCTGAGGAGCTCTGCCCTAATCCCGGAGGAGAGCTTGGTAGAAAAAGCTGGAGCAACTGTGCCTTAAAACAGTGAAACCAAAGGCCGGTGTGGCATGGGACGGGTGGGTGGGGGTGGGGAGAGGTAGCCCAGTGCAGTGTGGGAGGGGGTGGGCTGTGGTGGGGAGAAGTAGCCCAGTGCGGCATGGGAAGAGGGTGGTTGGGGGTGAGGAGAGGTAGCCCAATGCAGCGTGAGACAGATGTGGGGTGGGGGGTGGGGGGAGGTAGCCCAGTGCGGCGTGGGACGGGGGTGGGTGGGGGTGGGAGAGGCTTTCCCTCCACCTCTGCTCGCTCTTGTGCAGGCCGGGGAGGGGGGCTCCGCACCGTTTCTGGATGTGAAATGTTGCCGAGGATTCTGCCTGTCGGAGGACAGCCGCGAGCTTCCAGGCGGGTCTCACACGGGGCAGGTGACCGGGGTTGGAGCCGGCGTGAGAAGCGTGATTATCTGATACAGCAGGCCAGGGCTCCGTGTTTAATCCGAGTCAGTCCACACCGGCCACCTTAGTCCCTCCTGTGGGATCGGTGAGCTCCGTGTGCCGTCAGAGGGTTCTGCTCACGTGTCGCGGCTGTGCAGTGCAGCACCGTGGAGGAAAGTGAAAGTGTGTGCCAGTGACAGGCCCGGGACAGAGTGGCCGCCGCCGGCTAGGAAGGCACGGCAGGTCGGAGGGTGAGGTCCGTGTTCTGTTGGGAGCCGAGGTTTCCGTAGACGGTGTGGATGTGCGCGCGGGGATCTAAGGTGAAAACTAGAAGCGAGGTCTCTGTGTCGCGTCTGCAGCCCTAGGCATTCCTTCTGCGCACACGTGTGGAAACGTCGTGTAGCGCTGTAACACACGTGACGGTCAGGAGTCGGCGTAGAGCAGTTTTTTAAAAGTTTCAGAGGAACATGGTTTCAGTTGTGTTGGCGGAGACTGCGTGTCAGCTTTGTCTTTGTGCGTCCGTGTCTGGGTTACGCGAGGCTTTGTCACGATGGGGGGTGTACTTCAGGAATGTTCAAAGCCGTCACTGCGGTTCAGGAGCCCTGGTCTCCTTTTTGCGTCCTGTGCTTGGTCTCAGCCCCAGCTCAGGGGTGTGTCTGCTGGCGTTCCTGCGAGACGCTGGTGGATGTCAGAGGTGAGTTCCTTCCCTGTGTTTCTGAACGCAGGTGCGACAGCTTGGCACGCTGGAGCACCGGCATGTCACCACTGTTGGTCATTTCCAGGGAGTGACCGCGGGTTAAACGGAGTGGGCAGAATGCCGCAGGGGCCGCCCTGTTTACCGAGGGCCCGGAGGTGTGCAGTGGGGCTGAGGTCCCGTGGGAAGGAACCAGGGGAATCCCAAGGCCTGCTTAATAGTAGAGGGATAGCAAGAGGCATAAAGCCGGCGGTCCTGTCTGCCTGGCGTGGTGGGGAGAGGGCGTTGGTGGAGAAGCAGTGAGAAATCAGAATCAAAACGTGGACGGGGTCATGTGGAGCCCCGAATCAGTGCCGTGGATCAAAGGGGACTGCAGAGGTGTTTAAGCCGGGACTGACAGATGACGGGGATTGACTGACAGATGACGAGATTGGCTGAGAGATGACGGGGATTGGCTGACAGATGACGGGGATTGGCTGACAGATGACAGGGATTGGCTGACAGATGACGGGATTGGCTGACAGATGACGGGATTGACTGACAGATGATGGGGATTGACTGACAGATGACGGGGATTGGCTGACAGATGACGGGGATTGGCTGACAGATGACGAGATTGGCTGACAGATGACGAGGACTGACAGATGATGGGGATTGGCTGACAGACGACGGGATTGACTGACAGACGACGGGATTGACTGACAGACGACGGGATTGACTGACAGATGATGGGGATTGGCTGACAGATGACGGGGATTGGCTGACAGACGACGGGATTGACTGACAGACGACGGGATTGACTGACAGATGACGGGATTGACTGACAGATGACGGGGATTGGCTGACAGATGACGGGAATGGCTAACAGATGATGGGGATTGGCTGACAGATGACTGGGATTGGCTGACAGATGACGGGAATGGCTGACAGATGACGGGGATTGGCTGACAGATGACGGGATTGGCTGATGGATGACGGGATTGGCTGACGGATGACGGGATTGGCTGACGGATGACGAGATTGGCTGACAGATGACGAGGACTGACAGATGACAGGGATTGGCTGACAGACGACGGGATTGACTGACAGACGACGGGATTGACTGACAGATGACGGGGATTGGCTGACAGATGACGAGGACTGACAGATGATGGGGATTGGCTGACAGACAACGGGATTGACTGACAGATGACGGGGATTGGCTGACAGATGACGGGAATGGCTAACAGATGATGGGGATTGGCTGACAGATGACTGGGATTGGCTGACAGATGACGGGAATGGCTGACAGATGACGGGGATTGGCTGACAGATGACGGGATTGGCTGACGGATGACGGGATTGGCTGACGGATGACGGGATTGGCTGACGGATGACGGGATTGGCTGACGGATGACGAGGGTTGGCTGACAGATGATGGGGATTGGCTGACAGATGATGGGGATTGGCTGACAGATGACGAGATTAGCTGACAGATGACAGGGATTGGCTGACAGATGACGGGGATTGGCTGACGGATGACGGGATTGGCTGACGGATGACGGGATTGGCTGACGGATGACGGGATTGACTGACGGATGACGAGGGTTGGCTGACAGATGACGGGGATTGGCTGACAGATGATGGGGATTGGCTGACAGATGATGGGATTGACTGACAGATGACAGGGATTGACTGACAGATGACAGGGATTGGCTGACAGATGACGGGGATTGGCTGACAGATGACGGGATTGGCTGACAGATGACGGGGATTGGCTGACAGATGACGAGGATTGGCTGACAGATGACGAGGTTTGACTGACAGATGACGGGGATTGGCTGACAGATGACGGGGATTGACTGACAGATGACGGGGATTGGCTGACAGATGACGGGATTGGCTGACAGATGACGAGGGTTGACTGACAGATGACGGGGATTGGCTGACAGATGACAGGGATTGACTGACAGATGACGGGGATTGGCTGACAGATGACAGGGATTGGCTGACAGATGATAGGGATTGGCGTGGGAGGAGGGAGGGAGATGGACCGATATGGTCTCTGCAGGAAGCAGTGAGCCCAGCCGAGGAGTGGCAGGGAGAGAAGAGAGGGGTGAGGTAGAGTGAGAACAGACAGCTCCTCCCAGGCGGGACAGGGCACATGGGGGTGACAGTGCACACTTGCAGCGCCGGGAGCGAGCCAGATGGGTGATGGTGATGGTGACAGTGACGGTGAGAACCAGTAGGGGCTTCAGTGCAAAGGTGAGGTCAACAGGAAGACTGTGTTGGGTGAAGACATGAAGCTCATTCATTCTTGTGCCCTGAAAAAGCTCCCAGTGGGACTGGGGCGGCACAGTGGGTTGAGCCACCCCCGGGATGCCGACGTCCCATATCAGATGCCAGCGGAGTCCCAGCTGCTCTGCTGCCGAGCCTGCTTCCTGCTGGCGCCCCGGATGCCTCGCCGCTGCAGGGCGTCGTGTGCCGCTCTGTGCCGGTTTACCCAGCTGTCACGGTGATTTGGTAACTGAGCCGGCGAGACACGAGCATGGGCAGAGCTGTTTTGGTGGGAGTCCAGTGGAATGTTCTGGAAAGTCTCAGTGGAGGCGGATTCCTGACGGCTGCGGTTCCCACGTGGAATTCCGAACTCGGATCATCGAGAAGGCGGAATGGGGAGTCCTGGATGTGCGTTGTAGGATACCTCAGGTCTTGCTCGTGCAGGTCGTGTCCCGCGTGAGCTCACGGCGCTGTCCGGAGGGCGCGCCTGCATCACTATCATCGTCAGGGAAATGCCTATCAAAGCACAGACCCGTGTTTCACCCATTGCATTGGCGAAAGCTTGGCGGTTGTCAGGACCAGATTCTGGCGCGGTTCTGGGGAGCTCTGCCCTTGCACGGTGGTGGTCG